CGATACAGTCATGATATATCAATATTGTTACAACCTTGGGTCGTCAACCTTGCAACATTTTTGTTATATCATGACTGTATCAGACTTGTTAGAACAATTTTGTAACATTCTTGTTATATCATGACTGTATCAGACTTGTTAGAACAACCTTGTAACATTCTTGTTATATCATGACTGTATCAGACTTGTTAGAACAACCTTGTAACATTCTTGTTATATCATGACTGTATCAAACTTGTTAGAACAACCGTGTAACAAATCTGATAATGCCATCAAGCTTGTTACAAGTCGAGCTTGTTCCAAACTTGTCACAACAACTGGGAACAAGGTAAATTAATTGGTAAATTAAGCGTGTAATTGGTAAATTAAGCGAAGAAGGAAGACTACCGCTCATTAAGAATTTTGCACATCAAAATGCTCTTCAGCCTATATGACGTCTTTCATCGAGGGTGGACCGCTGCAAATCCTCTAGTAAGTTTTACCCTCTCTTAGAGAGTGTAACTGTAAGCTTGGCGTTAACATCAAACAGCAAACGCCAGGGGTCGGTTGTACCAAGCCTGTTTATATTCGCTTAAACGTTGGTTAAGCTCAAAATAGAAAGCAAGTCTATCGATTCATTCAACAACCAAACTAAAAGTTTGGAACCTTAATAGAACGATACTGTTCACAACCACATAATTCAGTGCAGAATATTTAAATTAACTGATTCACGAGAGATATAAGAGTGTTATTTATAATTTTGACTTATCCACCCGGCCGTTTACGCTAAACGGGCTTGATACAACCGGCCTCAGGCAAAGAAAAATGTTACGGTATCAGGCAATAAAGAGTAAATAAACTTGCTGTTTTAAAACTGAAATACCGATAATTATTCTTTCGACACAAGAAAGAAAATATGAAACGTAAACGTTCAACGAAAATTTTGCCAAGAAAGTTCGCAGCATGCCGTTTGCCGTTCCCGGAAACGTGAAGCTTAAACTCCTTATTTGAAAACGTCACTTTTGCCGTGAGCAATTTCAGGAAGGTTTCTAAACGGAGCGAGATGAAAACGGAGCGCTTGGCGGCTTCGTTATATTCTTTACGTTATTTCGGAACACCCTGTATATGTAGCGTATACACACGCAAAAATCTCACAACTTGTAGCAAGTCTGCCAACAAGCCGTCAACAAGTTGTGTTCGCACTGCTTGTCCCAAGTTGTCAACAAGTTTGGAACAAGCTGTTAACAACTTGTAACAAGCTTGTTGACATTATCAGACTTCTTACAAGGTTGTTCCAACAAGTCCGATATAGTCATGATATAACAATATTGTTACAACCTTATGTGATCAAACTTGTAACATTCTTGTTATATGATCATGACTGTATCAGACTTGTTATGACAACCTTGTAACATTCTTGTAATATCATGATTGTATCAGACTTGTCAGAACAACCTTGTGACATTCTTGTTGTACACACGTAAAAACGCACCAGTTGCAACAAACCTGCAGCAGACTTGTAGCAATACTGTTGCAACAACTTGTCAACAGGATGTGTTCGCACTGCTTGTTCCCAGCTTGTTGACAACTTGCTACAAGGTTGTTGAGCTCAACTGACTTGTTAGAAGTTGTTCCAACAACTTGTCATCGTCCTGCAATTCAACGATTTGTCAACAAGTTGTGAGTGACAACCTTGTAACAACTTGATAAAATAACAACATTGTTACAACTTGTTGACAGGCTTGCTACAAAGTTGCTGAGCTCAACAGACTTGTTAGATATTGGGCCAACAACTTGTTATCGTCCTGCAATTCAACAATTTGTCAACATTCAACAAGTTGCGAGTGACAACCTTGTAGCAACTTGATAAATAGCAGCATTGTTACAACTTGTTGACAAGCTTGCTACAAGCCTGTTGCAAACACATCTTGTTGACAAGTTGTGAGATTTTTACGTGCACATGAAGACCAATTTAGATGGAACTACTATGATGGATGGGTTCGTCTTTCTTTCTTTAGATCACAAACAGAATACTGGGGTTTCCACGCTAAGATGTATGGTGGAATTGGCTTTCTGACTTTTGATTCAAAAGTTAAAGTAGGAAGAAAAGGTCTCTCTGTTAGCCGAGGCATGACCATACGGGTCCATACCAAGCGACTTGCTATTTCATTATTTTTCTTTCCAAAGATAAAAAGCAGAAGGATGTCAAAATTTTTGAAATTTTGCCAGACGTGCATTTTCCGTTATGTTGCGAGAGAGGGGAGGCGAGAACATGCGAAGATCATCATGATTTTTGTGAGTGTTTGGCCAGGAAACCAACGGCACCAGAAAAAGTGAAGACGTTTCAAAGTCTGGCTCATAAAAAGTAAGTTGGATAGGTAAGGTTGATTTTTGGTGGTGATGATAATGTTGCTGATGATGATGGTGGAGGTAGGGATAATAAAGGTGGTGATGATGGTAATGATAGTAAATGATGGTGGTGTGATGGTGGAGATGAGGATAGTAATGATGATGCTGCCTCGAACTCTAGAGGATCATGGTGTGATGATAATGGTGGTGATGTTAACGATAATGATAATATGGTGATGATGATGATAATGATGAATCATGATGATGATGATTGTGATGATAGTGATGGTGGTGATGGTAATCATGATGGTGATGATGACGAAGGTGGTGATGCTGACGATAATGATGAGATTGTGACGATGATCGTGGTGATGGTAATCAGGGGTGGTGATGTCTAATCTTTCCAAAACAACCTTATTCTCGAATGTTTCTGTGTTGGTGTAATGTACTCAGGTGAATATGATGTTTGTGATGTTACTCTGAGTGTATATCCACACCGGTCAAGCTTGAAAAATATGCCACCGTGGCCAGGCATATTTTTCAAGCTTGCCCGGTGTGGATATACACTCAGAGTAACACCCGCCACAAGCATCATATGTGACTGAGTACATTACACCAACAAAGAAAACAAATCATGATTACTAGATTACATCGATATCGAAGAAACTAGACTCAGTTCCGAAAGCACATACTCGCACCGACCTGACCGCTCAGTTGGCGGAGCATTGGGCTAGTATTCCAAAGGTCGTGGGTTTGTTTCCCATCGTGGCGAGGCATATTTTTCAAGCTTGCCCGGTGTGGATATACACTCAGAGTAACATCACAAGCACCAACCTTATTCTCTTCTCTCAGATACCACGAGGATTTCTCAGAACTTATCCCAAATTTACAAGAATCTTACAAAAATTCGAAGAAATACTTTTTCCATGGCTACCACACTTCGGTATTCCGTGGCTAGAATGAAAGGAAAGTATATAAAATGCGGACGCCAAAGAGCTATAGGACCACTATAGAGCCGAAATGGGCAGATAATGTGACCGCGGTTAATTTACGAACGATTGTAGCTTAGCAAAAACACTGTTGTTAGCTTACTTGTCAATATAACAACTAAACGAAGTCACTGAAAATTATATTATTCAAACAAGTACACGAAACTAAATAGCTCTGTCAGTTTTAAACAGAATTATCACAACAGGAGTAAATCTAAACTAAACTAATTTTATTATTACCCTAGATAGATATCATATCTACTCTGACTACTCAGTTCTAAACTGCCCTCTTTTCCGTTTCCACAATTCCGCGTTTCATCCCTTTTTCCGTGTTTTATCCCCTACTCCGCGTTTTATCTTTCCGTTTCTGGTTCTGAAAAGCCTGATTTGCAGGCAAACCTCTGCAGGCAAATAGTAGCCTGCGTGGCAGCCATTGGCATTGTTTATTACAGTAAATATATAAATACTTTTATTCTTTAGAATTTAGGATCATCTCTAATATTTCTATTCACTGAATCACCGGTAAGATTTTTATATATTCTAGAAAAGCTATGTATTGTAAAAAACATGGCAAATCAACCTGATACGGCTTCGTCAAGCGACCTTGATGAATTCAGTGATGGCGCCTCTGAGGAAGAAGCTTGGGAGGACAGAATACCTCAGTGCAAACATTCAGCAGTTCATCACAGCTTTTACCATGAAGTTAGTTCCGAAAATATTGGAGAAACTATCAAAGAAAGAATTCGTAGCAAAATAGATGCTAGAACGTGCTTGGAATTTTATTTGGACGACGAAATCTCGAATTTAAAGGAACAGATTCATATCGTGAAAACTCGCCCGAAAGACAAATGGCCTGAGCATATGCGTTTAGCTGTTTTAATATACAATACAAAAGAAGCTTTGTATTTAGAGGATTTAGAGAAGCGTTTGGAAGTCGCGGAAGGGAAAAAAGATGAACGATTACAGAACACTCCAAACTATATGACAGAATCGCTTGACATAGTAACAGCTGAAGTAATGTTGAAAATTAACGGCGTTGTTCGTATTCAACGACATGCTATTAAAGGCAAGCGTGCACATGGCTCAGGAACGGGTATTTTAGTCAGACTGAATTGGTCACAAACTCAGTATACAGTTAAAAAAAGCGAAAGCGAGGATTTTGCCATTTTGACAAACAACCATTTAATAGAAAACGATTCTGAACTTAATGGTTCAACAGTTGATTTTTTCTACAATGCTGCAGCAGGTGATGCAGACCCTCATGGTCAGGGTGTTGTTACCAAAAACGTGACTAAGGTCATAGCGTGGTCCCCAAAGGCGCCTTCTGGGCAGGAAGCTGCTGATGAGTGTATGGATTTTTCCATTTTGAAATTTGATATGGGTACAGACGAGGAATTTATTAAGACCCTGGGTGAGGTTGCATTGTATCTGAATGAATTTCTTCAAAATGATTTGCCAACTACGCCACACCTTGACTTTCCCATCCCCCTTCTAATCATTGCCATTAGCCACCCTCATGGCAGCAACAAAAGAATAAGCTTTGGATCAGTCGAGGAAGAGGAGGTACGAAAGTTACTGTGTAAAAAAGATACTGACAAAAGAATAAGCTTTGGATCAGTTGAGGAAGAGGAGGTACGAAAGTTACTGTGTGGAAAATCTGATTCAGTACCAACCAGTATACAGTATAATTTAACCACTTGCCAGGGTTGTTCAGGCTGTCCTGTCCTAGCAATTCAAATGGATGCAAAAGGATATCTAAGAGCCGCTCTTCAGTTCCTGCATTTTAGACAAACGAAAGGGATTGTTGTGCGTAAACTGTATGAGACATGCAAAGCAAACGCTGACTTTGCATGGGAATATGGATTATTTGGTAGTCCATTAGTGTCTAGGGAAATGACATCACAAACACCAACTGGTCTAGGGTTTGTAACAACAGAAAGACAATGTTTATGGCATTATGTGGATATGTATTATGAGGATACGGATGATGAGGACACAGAGGAGGATAAGGATGATGAGGATACAGATGAATATAAGGATGATGAGGATGGATGACGAGGATATAGATGGACTACAATAACCATGCAACAATGCCAGGTAAATTAAGAAGCTATGATTTAAACTTCTTTCCTTATCCCTAAACAGCTAAATCTTCAGTCACAGTTCTGTCCTAAAAGTTAGTATAGAAAATATATAAAAATGTTTGCTTCAGTGCAAGCAAGTAAAGAAACCAAGTAGGGCGCACTGGGGCTCAATGGGTTAATTACTAGAAACATTGTCAGATATTTTGGTTAACCCGTTAAGCTGCAGAGCTTCCCCATTGACGAGTACAATCCTTTGGCGTTAGACAAGTAAAAAAAAACAAATTCAAGTAGGATGCATTGAGGCTCAATGGGTTAATGTTTGAGGAAGCCAGTTTAGCATGGGAAATTGCATCAACAGCAGGTATTATTCCATTGAATTAACATAATCAAAACTATTGTTTAAAGTATAAAATAGCATTTTCCCACCAAAAATCACATGGGATTTTTTGTTAACACACATCGATACCTTGTGTGAAACAAATGACAAATTCTGTCAGTGAAAAGATTGCATATTTTACAGCTCAAACAGGCAAACCAAGGCCACTTGCATATTTTTAATGTTTTCAAACTAAGCCAAACAAATCCAATCAGCAGCAGATTATTTAGACATATGACTATGTTATAAGTTCATAACGGGAAAATCTTTAGTCAAAATACCCCGTTGGTGATTGGTTTTTGGCTTAGTTTGAAGACGTAAAAAATATGGAAAAGCGGCCTCGGTTTGCCCGTTCAAGCTGTAATTAATTTTTTTTATGATCTATCAACAGAGGCAAAATCCCTGATTTCTACTGGCTTTGGATTTTGAAGATTCACAATGGAACAACTTGGCAAAGTTTTGCTTATTTAATAACATGTTTATACTTTATTTACATTCTAATATGTATATTTCTATATAATAATTATGCATTATTTATTAAATCCATATATGACCACCAAGGGGCCAGTTGTACATTTAAGGCTGGGTCATGCTATCCACTGGATAGTGATTGGTTGCTGATTGGTAAAATCCATTAAATTAATAAGTTTGAAATCACAAACCTGCAGAAAGGACTGCCCGCCTTCATACAACTGACTATTGTTTACAGTATATAAGGCTCAGGCCTTGTCTTCAGGTTAAGAAATGGTGATTGCTAGCAGGGGCAAATTTTTCAAAGGACTAAAAGTGCCCTTTTTGTGATGAAAAGTGCCCCTTTTTGTGATGAAAAGTGCCCTTTTTGTACCTAATGTCGCTGTAAATACTAAATTAACGTCAAAGGTGCCCTTTTTGTTTGGAAATTTCCAAATTTTTTAAAAATATTTGGTAAAAAACGTGCAATTTCGGTATGGTACGACGGGAAAATTTTTCTCCCCCCTTCCCCAAACAACCCTCCCATGTCGCCAATATTTCCGGGAAAAATTTTTTAGGTGCCATTTTCAATAACCTAAAGTGCCTCTAGAAGCCGGTGCCCCCCCCCCCCAACTTTTAATGCTTCCTACGCCCCTGATTGCTAGAAAGTACACTCCAGAATAAGGTTTTAACTAACCCTAACCTAACCCTAACTTATTTTAAAAATTGATGTAAAAACGGAAACCTTATTTTGAAGTATACTATCTAGCAATTGCCGTTAAGAAATGGTTTGATATTGTGTGGAAGCCATGTTTTTGGCTTCACCTTTTGGCTTTTGATGCCAAGCACGTCTAGTGGCGTAACGTTATGACAAGTCTGATACAGTCATGATAAAACAAGAATGTTACAAGGTTGTTCTAACAAGTCTGATACAGTCATGATATAACAAGAATGTTACAAGGTTGTTCTAACAAGTCTGATACAATCATGATATAACAAGAATATTACAAGGTTGTTCTAACAAGTCTGATACAGTCATGATATAACAAGAATGTTACAAGGTTGTTCTAACAAGTCTGATACAGTCATGATATAACAAGAATGTTACAAGGTTGTTTTAACAAGTCTGATACAGTCGTGATATAACAAGAATGTTACAAGGTTGTTCTAACAAGTCTGATACAGTCATGATAAACAAAAATGTTACAAGGTTGTTCTAACAAGTCTGATACAGTCATGATAAACAAAAATGTTACAAGGTTGTTCTAACAAGTCTGATACAGTCGTGATATAACAAGAATGTTACAAGGTTGTTCTAACAAGTCTGATACAGTCATGATAAACAAAAATGTTACAAGGTTGTTCTAACAAGTCTGATACAGTCATGATATAACAAGCATGTTACAAGGTTGTTCTAACAAGTCTGATACAGTCATGATATAACAAGCATGTTATAAGGTTGTTTAAACAAGTCTGATACAGTCATGATATAACAAGCATGTTACAAGGTTGTTCAAACAAGTCTGATACAGTCATGATATAACAAGAATGTTACAAGGTTGTTCTAACAAGTCTGATACAGTTATGATAAACAAAAATGTTACGAGGTTGACG